TACCTTCCAGTACTCGTCCCATGCTGTCCGAACCGAAAGCCACCGCCGCCGCTGCCGGCCGATTCAAAGAAGCCGGCGCACCACCACCACCCAGTGGGGTCTTTCATGTGCCTCAACAGCCGTCCAGACCAGTTCAGGGTAAAGTCACAGCGGTTGCTACATGTTTATACGAGTGGAAATTGGAGTGTGAGAGCTTAAGATGCATTTGGACACATATGGGAATTAGTAGATAGGCGTACACCGATCAGATACAGGGCGCACCCGCCCTGGTTTTTGATGTCCAGTGTAGTCGGGAACCCCCGGACCCTTGCCACATAGCTAATTGTAATGTTACTTACTAAGTTTCAGTAACATTTTGCTGTTATTTTAGGACATTTAACCGTAAGACAGAGACTCCTGGAAGACCTTATCTGATCGGTGTACGCCTGTCTACTAATGTATAGTCCCGATCAACAACCGTCAAGACGTCTAGCCCGATAGCTCGAGGGATAGGGCGTTTGCCCTGGACCGGAAAGACGCGGGTTCGAAACTCGAGGGTGGCGGCAATTTCTGTTGCTACACTGGAGTAGAGTGTCTCCTGCTGATGACGGTAAATAAGCCAGAAAAGGCCTTCCAGGAGTCTCTGTCTCATGGTAAAATGTTCTTATATAAGGGAATCTTTATTAGCAGTGTCGGTAACTTGCAATATATTCGTGGATTGGCGTTCACCGGGCGCTAGCGGAACTCACTCGTCCCGTTCTGCCTCGGGGCTCACTCTCGAGCCCCACAAGCAGCCACACAGGGGCTAGTATTATAGGCCGACGAAAATTACCGACAAAGACAAGGGAGACTGGAGCGGCCATTTCCGGCTCACTAGCCACCATTAGCCAACCATAACCAACCCTAGGTGGCGCACTGGCCGATGCTCGAGCCCGCAACCTGAAGAGAGAGAGAGCCGTCTATTTATTTGGACACTTAACCTTTATGAGTCTTTTCCGGCAGTGTCAGTAAGTTAGAATATGCAAAGTAGGAGAAAAGTCCTAGTACCTGACACTAGGCGACTTTTT